GCTGCACTCCAGCCTGGGGGAGCTGTCCACCATCAGGGAGACCAGCCGCACCAGCACCTTGCAGAGCCTGACCCCGCAGCCCAGCATGAGGGCCTCCCCCGTCAAAATGGTCAAAATGCCGCAGGTCCCCGAGGTGCGGATCACCGCCCCGGGGCCCGCGGCCGAGGACCTGGGGGACTCCACCGCCTCCATCCAGAGCTTCGAGTTCACCGGGGTGCCGCCCATGGGCCCCGGGCTGCCCGGGGACCCCCTGAGGCTGATGGTGTTCCCCTCGGGGGAGGGGACGCCTCCCCGAGGCCCCAGTCCCCAGACTGTCTTAGCCCCAGCTGAGCAAGACCTGTTCCCGTTCGCCCCCGAGGAAGACCCTTTTGCGAACGACGCGTTCCCCAAAAGGTGGAGCCTCCCGGGGTTCCTGGAGTCCAGCCACACCTCCCTGGAGGGCCGAGGGCCGGAGCTCGCCAACCCCGAGCCGCCTCCGTTGCTCGACCCGGAAACGTCCTCCGAGACCAGTGGCATCAACTTCGTGGCTGGCCCGCGAGCCTCCTCCGACCTGCTGTATTTGATGGAAACTCTGGACACCAAGGAAACGGACATCGTAGAATTTAACAACGAGCGCACGGACGGGTCGCCCGGAGGAAAGCCAGCGAGCGCCAGGACCTAGTGCTCGTCTCCATCCTCCCCTTCCCTGAGGTTCAGCATGAGTTGCAGGACATGCCAAGGACTGGTCAGTTTCTAGACAGCAATCACACTGTATAAGCTATTTAAAACTCTGAAGGGCATTATGATCCGGACGTTTTCAACTAAGAAAATCCAGCACATCTGCATCATCCACCACCGCGGGGCTTCCACGGACGCTACCCTGACCGCAGTGATGTATCTTAACCAAATAAGGAGCCTTGAATACATATATGACTTATAAACCCATAGATTGTCAGCTTTGGGAAGCACCTTAGAGATCATAACACAACCCCCTGGCTTTGCCAATAGGAAGACAAAGAACTCCCTATTTGTTTCCTTTTCTTCTTCTTTTCTTCAATTATAAAGACAGGGAGATGGCTCGTAAAATGCCTCAAAAGCTGCCTTCTAATGATGAGCTTTTGTTTGAGGCTTTCCCACCATTTCACTCCCACCTTCTAACCTATTATTATCATCGCTTCCATGTTCTTAAGCTTCAGCTTCATCTCCCATTTCCTCTTCTCCTTTCACCGCTTCATTTTTCTCTGTTCCCACTTTACTCTCCCATCTTTCTCTAGTTCCCTCCTTCCTAGTCTTGCTCCTTCCCTAATACTCCACTCTGTCCCACCTTGCAGGTTATAGTATTTGCACCTGCCAACTCGGTTGCTTACTTTTTGCCATGATTTTCCAAATGTGAGGCACTGGCAACGCCTCCCACAGAATAACCGAAGATGTCAACAAATCCACTTGACACACTTCCAGCCCCTCGGCGGAGAGGGTGGGAGTCCATGGAAGCCCGCACCCTGGGCAGCCATGGCCGTTTCTCTCCACCTCCACTCTGAGGCCTGGAACACTGGACAAAACTGAAGTCAAGATGGGCATGAGACTTAAATAACCACATGCTATGGAACCAAAGAATACCAAAGCTTGAACGTGTTTAACTCGAACTCTTAGAGCCAAAATCCCAAACTTGTCACAGCGTGGGACCAGTTACTGTGTCTGCCAGGTTGTTTGGGATGAGGTAGGATGTTGGAGCTGGGAGGTTTAGGGGGTCCAGGACTGCACCATGGGGATGGGACTGGGACTCACTCACTCCAAGGAGCTCTTGGGGTGGCTGCCAGTGGGGGGCTCCCAATTTTGTCTGGAAAGGCATGTCTTATGAGTGCTGCTCTCACTATTTCTGTCATGTGATGAAGCTTGACTACATAAGGTTTAAGAAATAAAATAACCCTAATAGCCACCATGTACTGAGTGCTCACAGTGTTCCAGGCAGCAGCACGGAAAGTTCACAGATGACCTCACTAATCCTCACAGGAATCTTATGAGCTGATATACTATCGTCTCCATTTTCAAGATGAAGATACCAGAGGCTTTGGAGAGGTAAAATAATTTGACTGAAACCACATAGCCAGGGAGTGCAGGGCTCAGATTCAAACCCAGGTTTTTGACTCAGGAGCCATACTCTTAGCCGGTGAGCTCCCTCCCTGTGCTGTGCCATCTGCAAGGCCCTGAATCTGCCAGCAATTTTGCCCAGAACGCCGGAGGGAGGGTGCCCTGAGAGAACCATGCTTGTGTTTCTCCAGCCTTGGAGGCCTCCTTCGGTCCTCCCTGCTGAAGTCTACCTTCATCTTTTTGGGTTTTTTTAAATATATTTTTATTGATTTCAGAGAGGGAGGGAGAGAGAGATAGAAACATCAGTGATGAGAGAGAATCATTGATCAGCTGCCTCCTGCACGCCCCACACTGCAGACTGAAACCCGGGCATGTGCCCTGACCGAGAATCGAACCGTGACCTCCTGGTTCATAGGTCGACTCTCAACCACTGAGCCAAGCCGGCTGGGCTACCTGCATCTTTAATACATGCATACAAGAGGGCATTGCTCCACGTTGGAGGCCCGGCCATGGTCCTCTTCATTTTCCTGAAAGAAGAAAGTTGGCAACCCCGCTTCCCTGTCCCCTTCCTAACTCCTCCTGATATGCAATGCTATCATTAGCACATTTTCACAAGGCATCACAGCATCCCAATGACCACCCCAGCTGCACGACAGCAATGGCATTTACCTTACCTGGCCTTTCTCCAAGGACTAAAAGGAAATACTATTGGAAGAAATGCTAACATGGATGGTTTTCTATGTTGGTTGATAGTGTTACTACCTGGGAAGGCACTGATATCCAAAGCATTACACAGACTACGGGATCAAGCCCCAATATAACACTTGTAAAATGCAGAAACCTTGCCCTAACTGGTTTGGCTCAGTGATTGGAGCATTAGGTCCCAGGCCAAAGCGTCCTGGGACCTATTCCAGTCAAGGGCACGTACCTTGGCTGTAGGCTCATCCCCAGCCCCATCTGGGTGCGTCCAGGAGGCAACCAACTGATGTGTCTCTTTCACATCGATGTTTCTCTCTCTGTGTATCTCTCCCCCTCCTTTCCATTCTCTCTAAAAATCAATATAGAAAATATCCTCTGGTGAGGATTAACCATAAAACTACAATAAAATAAAAATTTAAAGGCAGGAACCTTAACCTTCTCTTAATACTCTTCTCTTTAATGTTTCAACTGAAGTCCCTCTACTCTCTTTTCTTTGGCTTTATCTATTGCTCAAATGCAAATGTTTGTACTTAGCTGCTTTTGAAATATAATTAATTTTTGTCCCTAAATGCAAAACGATAAATTACACACAAATAGAATCATGCATTTTGTGGAGGACTAAGAGAGTGTTCATTTATCTCTGCTTCCATCCTTCCTTCATACCTTTGTGCAGAGAATTAATGTCCTTGATATTTCATCAAAATCTGCGGTGGCCTCCCCTTTTCTCCTTGCACTAAAAACTGAACAATGATTCATTCAACAAGCCTATCACCTAGACTGCTGATTTTCAGTTGAACAAGTGTAAAGTGACATGTAACTACTGTTTAATTGGCATTTACTTGCCAATTACACATCACTAGTTGCTGGAGTATGTGTATCTGATTTACTAAGGACATTTAGCATTCCTTCATATACTCCTTAATTCTCATGGGACTCCTATTTTAAAAATTACCTTTTCAAGTTCTTTTTTTTTTTATTAAATCTTTATTGTTCAGATTACATTTGTTCCTCTTTTTTTCCCCCCCATAACTCCCCTCCTCCCAGTTCCCGCCCCACCCTCCGCCCTCACTCCCCACCCACTGTCCTCATCCATAGGTGCACGATTTTTGTCCAGTCTCTTCCCGCATCTCCCATTCCCCTTTCCCCGCCAAGAATAGTCAGTCCATTCCCTTTCTATGTCCCTGATTCATTATAATCACCAGTTCATTCTGTACATCAGATTATTTATTCACTTGATTCTTAGATTCACTTGTTGATAGATGCATGTTTGTTGTTCACAATTTGTATCTTTACCTTTTTCTTCTTCCTCTTCTTAAAGGATACCTTTCAGCATTTCGTATAATACTGGTTTAGTGGTGATGAACTCCTTTAGCTTTTCCTTATCTGTGAAGCTCTTTATCTGACCTTCAATTCTGAATGATAGCTTTGCTGGATAAAGTAATCTTGGTTGTAGGTTCTTGGTATTCATCACTTTGAATATTTCTTGCCATTCCCTTCTGGCCTGCCAAGTTTCTGTTGAGAAATCAGCTGACAGTCGTATGGGTATTCCCTTGTAGGTAATTGAGTCTCTTTCTCTTGCTGCTTTTAAGATTCTCTCTTTGTCTTTTGCTCTTGGCATTTTAATTATGATGTGTCTTGGTGTGGTCCTCTTTGGATTCCTTTTGTTTGGGGTTCTCTGCGCTTCTTGGACCTGTAAGTCCATTTCTTTCACCAGGTGGGGGAAGTTTTCTGCCATTATTTCTTCAAATAGGTTTTCAATATCTTGCTGTCTCTCATCTTCTGGCACCCCTATTATTCTGATGTTGGTACGCTTGAAGCTGTCCCAGAGGCTCCTTACACTATCTTCGTATTTTCGGATTCTTTTTTCATTTTGCTTTTCCGGTTGGGTGTTTTTTGCTTCTTCGCATTTCAAATCTTTGGCTTGATTCTTGCGCTCCTCTGGTCTGCTATTGGGTGTAATATTCTTTATTTCAGAGCGTGTATGCTTAATTTCTAGTTTCTTTATCATAGCATCGAGGGTCTCATTAGTTTTCGTGAGGCTCTCCAGAAGTTTATTGCAAGCCCTCAAAATTGCGTTTTTTAGCTCTATATCCTCCATTTCTGTCATGTTTTTTTGTCTCCGCATTTTTTATGCTTTCTTGGTGCACCCCCTAGTGGTCTTTGTGCGCAGTCTTGTTCTAGTTGAGCCTTGATTGTTGTAGTTAATACTAGAGGGATTTGACCACCAGGCCGACTGGCTGTGTGAATCAGCTGTGTCTGCCGCGGAAAACTTCTGTCCTCTGGGGAGGTGCTAATCTAGCCTTTGCCTGAGGCGATCCGGCAAATGGCTCTGCGCAGGGCTTGGGCGGGGCGGGCTCAACAGGGCGGGCGGAGGGAGCCGTTATGGTGCCCTCAGTCCTGTTCCCAGAGGCTCTGCTTCTCAGAACCCCCGGAACCGCTGCAAACCTCGGAGGGAAAGCTGCCTTCCAACTGATGCCAGACACTCCCGCTTCTCCCGTTTGGGTCCGAGTCCCCAGCGATTCGCCCGTATCTGGAGCTCAGAGTCTGAGACTCCCCCCTGACCGAAAACGACAACCGCGCTCTCAGCCACCAGCCCGCTTTGCGCGCGCACCTCCGCACCTGAGTATTTTCCACACTGCGCCTCCTCTGAGCCTCGGTGTGCTGTTATTTTTCCTTCTAGTTGAAGAGTCTCTCCTCAGCCAGCCTTCCTGTGGTTCTGGGTGATGTCCGTTCCGTCTTTTAGTTGTATATTTGAAGTGGTTGTTTGCGGCAGCAGTCTCCGGTATTTACCTATGCCGCCATCTTGGTCGACCTCTTTTCAAGTTCTTTTATCTATATTTCTCCTGTTGGTTTCCAGGAGTTCCTTCTATATTTTAGAATGATAATAGGCCCCTGTTGGTTTTGGACATCACAACAGTCTTTTTCAATCCTTTGTGTGTCTGTTAAAAGTGTCACTGGTGTTCACTGTTGAATAGAAAGCCTTAATTTTGGTATAATTAAGTTCATCAAATTTTTTTGTCTTATTCTTATGAAGTTTTAGGGGAAAAAAGTCTTTTCCCACCCCTGTCATGATTATTCTCCTACAATTTTTTCTATTATCTTTATAACATTAGGTAGGGATCCAGTTTTATTTTTCTCCATAGAATGAGCTGGTTTCCTGACAACCCCTCCAATTAAAAGACCAGTTATAAGTTCCACGTATTTCTTGCAAATCAGATGTGCTGGTATGAAACAAAATAGCATCTGAGAGAACTAAAAGATAGGGTGGTATCTACACTAATAAAAGAGAAACATGGTAATTAGCGTACGACCGCTACCCTTCCCATTGGCTAATTAGCAAGATATGCAAATTAATCACCAGCCAAGATGGCGGTTAACTGCCAACAAAGATGGCGGTTAATTTGCATATGTAGGCACAGGGAGGCAAAAGGGAAAACACGGAAGAAGCCCTCTGCCACTGACGGTGATGAGAAACCCAGGGGGGAGCTAAGAGCCGTGATCGGAGCACTGGCCAGTGATAGCGGGAAGTAGGGGTGGAGCCAGCGATGGGAGCTGGGCAGGGGCGGAGCCCGCCGCGATCCCGTGGCTGCAGCTGCTGGTTGCCGCTGCCTGGGCCTAAAGCCTCGGCCAGAGGCGTTAGGGCTGGGCAGGGGCGGAGCCCACGAACGGGGGACGGCT